CTTTCCCATTTTACACACGCACACACACACGCCCGCGCGCGCGCGCGTGGTTATTTTTATTATTTTATTATTATACAATAAAAACACACATAGGCATTTTACATATATCGGGTATCGGACGCAATCGCTTTCGCTGTTACATACAATATATTTTGTACACACACACGCACACACACGCGCGCGCGCATTTTTATTATTATATACAATAATACACACATTTTACATATTATAGTATATATACATATATCGGGTAGTATAGGATGCAATCAGATTTACAATGTGGTTTTCCCAGATCAAATCAGCTGTTTTGCGATGTCGTCAATTCTTGCATCACCAATAAATAATTTCTCTCGCCGCGATAATAATCATACTATATGATAACATATAGTATAATTATAAAATAAAATAATTAAATCATTTAACTCATTAAATAATTCTCTATATTTTATTAAAAGATATTAAACATATCCATAACTGACAAGGTTCGTGAAAGAAGCTGTGTGATATATATATATATATATATATATGTGTATTTTGAAAACGTAGTAAGAATTTTTACTATCTAAAACATTTTATATATACAGTTGCGCTCATAAAAGTATTTTGACAAACAGTTTTTGGAGCGCGCACGATTAAAGATCAATGTAATCAACAAAGTTGGCAGTCGCACACGACTCTCTGATAAGAAACACATGCACAAATTACAAATCAATACGAATTATCAACAATTAATACTTTTTATTTTTCGTTTTCATTATTCGCTTGGCTCGTAAGTATTTTGATAAATATTTTTGAAGGTATTAAACTTAGCCTTTTCGTTATAAAAAAAAAAAATTTAATAATATTCATTTTTGTTATCTAAAATTTGTAACAATTGAATAACTTTTTTGTTCATGTGCATTACTTATTTACGGTACTATTATAAATAAAGATATATGAAAAAATCTCTTAGTCAAAATACTTTATGAGCGCAACTGTATATATATATATATATATAGTATACTACTATTTTAGGTTTAATAGACATTAGGTCTAATAGACATTTTTTCGGTTTGCATTTCTCACTGGAAATACAATATATGTAATATATAATTATATATAATTCGTTATATTTATTTCATTCTAAATACAAAAAGTGTGACAATACGTGAAAGAAGCAGAAACCGATAGCTCTACGACATTTTCACGTGGTGCTTGCTGATTCACGTCTCGTAAAAACGCAGCTGACACGTGGTTCGTGCGAGGGACGCGTTTTGTGGGTCAATATAATTCCGGCGAAGGTGGGCGAGCGCGCCCGAGTGCGGACTCCGAACCCCGAATAACCTCACTTCTCCGGTACAGTCGCCCGCGAAATTATTGACCATCGAAAGCAACAATGCAATCATAAACGCGTCGGCATTACGGCGATCAATGATTAATCGCTTTCAACCGATATAATTAAAAATATTCAGGGGAATATTGCGCCGTACAAATATATTATATTCATGTCAGAATAAATCGCGAGTCAATTGACATGGTATTTCAATGAAGAAACTCTCGCGGCTTGCGATATAACCCTTCCACCGACTGTACTTTTCCCGCTTGGTATAGTCCACGGAATAAATATTGTCTATTCCATTGTCGGATCAAGTATTGACTATAGCAATGTTATTTTGCGATTCGTTTTAGCGGCGATTTAGACAAGATTAGGAAGATTAATAATTAAACGCGCCTGTCGCACATTATGTAATCATTTTGCCAAGAATCTCGCATAAAATGACAATCTGTCTTTCGCGGATCGATCTCCGCGGAATGTACCGCGCCATTCTTGGTACAGTCCGCGGGATTCTAATTGACAACTTATACTCGCGAGATTTCCAGCTCGCGAAATAATTGGAAGGCGAAGATCCTCGGCGAACCAGGTTGACGATATACCATATGTCGACGCCGCTTTCCTCGCATACGTCACGGCGTCGCGACCCCGTCAGCGTCCCGATTGCGACCGAGAGACGCGTTGAGCGGGGACAAAAGAATCTCGACTGACTGTACTGAGGCAGCGCGGACGGTAGTGGCAGTTGTATTGACCGCGGCGAGTGTTTCTTGTTGTCGCGCGGGACGGGAGGCGCGTCTCGACGAGGAAGAGCCGGCGACGTGGCCGCGGTAAGCTTATCGTGAATCCGCAGCCGTTAAAATTTGCAAGGCGACCGGGAATCGGACGACAATGTCGGCGATCAAGAAACGACGGCGTTCGCCGTGGAATTGATCCTGGATGCTACCGTCGTAGTGCGAGAATATCATCAACGTGGATCGAGCTCGTCCAGGATGCTCGCGAGTGACCGCGAGGTCGGCCTCGAGTCTTGAAGGGAACTCAAACTCGACGAAAGCCACGTGGTTCGCGTTCCTTCACGTACGTCACACGTCGCGTGCGATTTAAATCTCTGAGCCTCTTAAGGTCAGCTAAGATGGGCAAGACGAGAGGCGTCCACGAGACGACCCCCGAATTGAGGAATCGGATGGTGGGAATGTACGAGGCTGGTCTGGGTCTGCGAGAGATTGCTGCCGCGATCAATTGCTCGGTATATAAATCTTGTTTTGCATACAATGTCCAGTTTAGCAATTCTTATTAATACTTAAAGTAATTGCTCTGCCTGTTAAATAGACTTTAATTTCTTAAATTTAAACTATAAGAATATTTTAGCTTTTGTTTACTATGTCTTGATTTTGTGTTGCGCAACCCAGTAATATCATAGAATTCACCTTATTATAACATGATTGTGTTGTAGCAACGTACGGTGAAGAGATGGTTAAATAGATTTGACAAGGAAGGTACAGTGGAGACACGGGAACGATGCGGTCGCAAAAGAGCCACTACTACAGAACAGGATGAAGCGATTATTCGTCTAGCTACTCAAACACCCATAACAGCAGCAAAAGCAGTGCTTCCAGCGTTAGGTCTTACCTGTTCCGTAGATACTGTGAGAGAAAGGCTGCATAAAGCTGGAATTCACAATTGGAGTCCTTCTCGCAAATATATGCAAAGGATTCCATTGGGGTTTGTATTTTTAAGTAGAGGATTTTGATTAGCTTAAGACTCTTTCATATTATTTCGCGATAAAAAAATAATAAAAAGAATAATATTTATAGAAGTACACATTAGAGACAGAAAATTTCATTTTGGTTCTTTGATCTTAACTATTATATGTTGTATAGATTATGGTATTTGTATATAACAGTCACAAGTATATGTGTAATATTGCTCATTTTAATCCAAATTTATTAAATAAAATATCAGAATATATTTAAAATTGAAAAGGCAAATTTTATTTATGTTATTTTATTTATATTATTTTATTTATATTTTATTTATATGTTTATTTATATAATTTTATTTATATGTGTATGTGTAAAAATATAGTTTTGCTATTAATGTCTCTCTGTTTCTCGTCTAATTACGCATTTATCTCCATCAACAGTGAAGCGGATGGTGCAGCGATTCAGCAGGCAGTATGGCGACCAACCGGCACCCAATTGGGCAAGAAGAAAACTTCCAAAGACTCAAGCAAATCCGAGAAGAATGGTACCACTAAGAAGAAGAATCCATCGAAGAAGATCAAATTTCTAGAGGTATACGTCGATGATGGTGCACTACCCGAGACTCTGAAGCAAAACCAAAATACCGAGCAGCAGCCGCAGCAGCAACAAGAGCAGGAATTCGTATTTCCTCAGCAAAATCTTCCACCACCGCCTCCCGCACCTCAAGCCACCGAAATGCAACCTTCTGCGCAACCTTTATCAACGAGCCAGACGGAGTTTGGCAACGCGTTGGGCCTGGCGCAACAATCGCAATCCATCTATCAACATCCGGGATTGAATATGGTACAAAATTGGCCATTAGATTTAGTACAAGGCAGTCACCATTATCCACAGGTTTGTTTCTTATTGTTAGCTTGTTTTAAAACATGTTATTGTAATATATATTATATATAGAAAAGTGAATTGTGTATCAAAAACTATTCATATGTATTGCTCATAGGGACAACCGATATCCCATGAGCACACTTTGCCGCAGCAGCAACAACTGCAAGAGCTGCACACGCAGCAGGAACAGCAACAGCATCATGCCCAACAAACCCAGCAGCATGTGCAAGAGCAGTCGCGATTGCAGGATCAATCGCATCAGCAGAATATTCAGAATACTCATCATCATAATCTCGATCAGCAGCAATTGCCGGTGGAGCATCAGATTCAACAGCAAAGCTTGCACTCTAGCATATCTAGCCCGGAGCAGACGAATGCGAACATAGTATCTGATAGTTCTTGTAGTTCCAACGAGAATAGTCAATCGTCTTGCGAGCCTCAGCAGAACAAGGAATCGTCGAGGAAAAGTAATAGAAAGTCTGAATCGGAACGACAAAAAAAGAAGAAGAAGGGTGGCAAAGCGAAAGGGACATTGGAGACTAGTGTGGAGATCAGAAATCGCATGATTGGAATGTCTGAAGCTGGACTGTCGACTCTGTCCATTGCTCTGGCGATCGATAGATCGGTATGTAAAATATTTGATCTTTGAGTTTATTCTATATTAAATTATATTGTAGATCTCTGACATCTATCATATATCATGCGAATAGATATGAAAGTTGTATTACGAACTCGAGAAAAATTAATGCAGGAGATTTACATGGACGTGATTTTGAATTAATCAGGAACGTACTGTTAAAAGATGGTTAGAACGTTGGCATAAGGAAGGCAATGTGCAAACCAAGGAACGAAAGGGCCGACGTCGGATCACTACCAAGGAACAAGACGAGGCCATCGTCGCGATGGCGACTCAGCATCCTCTTACCGCCGCTAAATACGTAGCGCCTGCGCTAGGTCTAAAATGCAGTGTGGATACAATTAGAGAGAGGCTTCATAAAGCTGGGATACACAGCTGGAAATTAGGCAAAAAGCAAGGGTTAGAGTGTGAATTATGATATTTTTATATTTTTCCTTTATAAACGCGAAGAAATTCCCCAGAAATTTCTTCAGAATTTTTATCTGAAAAAAGATAAACTACAGAATATAGACTGATTCACCCTAGGAAATTCATTATTGAAATTAAAATCCTTCCATAATTCTCGAACATCTTTTCTAGTACAAAAAATAAAATGTATAATTAAATGTGATGTCTTTTTTTAGAGAAGGAAATGCTGTCCACACTGTTCACTTGTGGCAGCCGAGTGGTAATCGCCCTAACAAACCGAAAATGCCCGGAGAAAAGAAAAAGAAGAGTGCTGGTAATAAAAGACGTGATCAGATAACGAACAGCAGTCAGAAACGCATCGCGCGGAAAAAGAAGAACGACGAACCGTCGACATCAAAACCGGCTCCGCCTCCAGCGAACATAATACCGGAACAGACTGTGTTACCGTTCCACAATCCTGGAAACAGTAAGCGTCGTCAAAATATCGCAACAATATCTTATAATACAACACACATATTTATTCGAAAAGAAACTAATTATCTTTAAAATCACTCTTCTTCAGTGACGAATTACGCTTCAGCCCCTAACGTAATGACAACGGTGCATAATATAAGCGCACTGCCGCAACTACCTCCGCCACCACCACCACCACCACCACCGGTGCCGCAACCGATGCAGCAGCAGCCGATGGGTCCAATAATGCCACAGAGACCGGACTGCAGGCTAGCACCGACCATAATTCCGCCCGTGTCGAGCAATTCCGGTGTCACCTATCCGTCGTGCATGGTCGGCGGTAACGGTCACATGGAACAAACGGATCCTCTAAATTACGAGCCGTACATTTGGAGTTTTTAAATATCAGTAATGACAATCTAAATCACGTGCAGCATAATTGAATGAAAAGGAAGTGTGCATTTGAGCGAATTCTCGCATTTATCGATCTAGAGTTCTACAATATTTTGTTTTTATAAAAAAAAACTCCAAAAACATTTGAGAATAAGTGATACACAGATCCTGTCAATTTTACATTAGGAATTCTTTTGCACAGTTTAACTTGTGCATAAATTGCAATATTAGAAAATACAATCTCTGTACATGTGCAAGAAGAAAGTTTGGTGAGTTTATTGTTATATCTGTGAGAAAAAGTTATATTAACTTAAGAATTTTTATGATACTATGCAGTGCATTTAGATCAATTTAAGTGAATCAGCATAAAGACGCGATAGCATGTACATATAGAATACATATAGAATCGTGTAGAGTAGCAAAAATGTACATCACGACGTTTATTTTGCTATGATATATCGTCTCTTTAAATAATATAGAGTCGTAATCAGAAATCGTATTAAATATGTTAAAAATCGATATTTATACGATACGATTAGACTTCATTAAATCAAGAACATTTTATGTTATTTTTAATGGTTGAAAAAGAGAGAGAGAACAAAATCTGAATATCAAATGAAATCAGTAGAAAGTATAGATATCTGCTGATTTAACAGATAAACTACTTATCAATAATTACATAAAGAATAGAAAGCCCAAGAAAAAACTTTTTAGCAAATCCTCAGCAATAGATCTATTTTCGATATATGTGCTATCTTTTTTTTTGTGAGAGTATTCATAGATGATTTCAGATAAAATGTATATTCTATGATATATATTTTTAATTATAACATATATGAATCTGCTTTGAAATTATAGTACAAATTGGCATGTTCCAGTGAGAAAAATGCGTAGTAAATCAACTTTAAACAGGCTGCCAAAATACTTACATTTAATCTGTAAACTGCCTTTTCTATCATACTCATATTTGTATACTATATGTATATCATTTTTTTAATGATAAACATAGTATTGCCATTATATAAATATATGTTATTATAAGACTGTTACTCTTTTCTACACACATAAGCTTGCCAGCTTTTCTAACAAGTAGCGTCTGATTAAGAATCAGTATCTGTATTGCAAGAAAGTTTTGTTACAATACTTACGTTTTTTTCTTCTTTTTTACAAAGCAGTATTCATATAGTTCGTCCATATACAATTACTGGTGGTACAAATGCAAAGTAGTGCACTAGAGAGAATTACACACGAGAAGTACGAGATATTGTAGAAAGATTTTGTCTGATATTTCAAATGTCCATTTTTTCATTTCGCATAATAATACTCAAAAGAGTATTATGTACACTCACATTTTATAAATAAATGTATCGCGTTTTCACAATATGTGATACACACACACACAACATTCCTTTAATTTTTTAATACATAGTGATGTATTACAAAATTAATAGAAATATTTACAACAACGTTCTCATTGAGATCTCATTCGTTTTATATCTGTTTTATAAAAGAAAAATAAAAATGATTATTATTCACTCTCCATACTATATATGTTGGCTGGTCTTCTTTATAAATAATAAAGTATCTTTGTACAGAAGAGGGATATTAAATCAATCGCATATACATTAGTCACGAACATATACCTTTACTCCGAAATATAGCTACAGTTTCATCTTTCATCATGTAAGTTCCCAAATTTGTGTAACATTATTTATGACCGCCTCGGGATTATTTTTGTGGAACATAAAGTATCCTTGAATCTGCGCCGGACTAACGTTTCTTTTAAAGGATATAATGTTCTCTGCAAATTTCTTTGCAAGTACACTAGGATCTTTACCTGGTTCCTTGTAGAATCGTAAAAACATTTGTTCGATTTGATTTGTGCTACACCAACCTGAAAAAAAGAATGTATGTGTGATAGTATATTGAGATTATTATATAAGTTTCTTTTAGCTTTTTATTTAAGCGTTTTTATTTTTCTATTTTTTTATATACATACCAATGTATTCTTTGACATCGACTCTGCCTGGTCTAACAAGCGCAGGATCTAATCTGTCTAAATAATTGGTTGTCATAAATAATATCCTAGCCTCTGTAGAGGCTACACCATCTAAGCAGTTCAATAAACCGCTAAATGTTACTCTATTGAGACCATCATATGCTGCTTTAACTAAAATATTGGAAACAAATATAAAACAAAGTAACATGATAAATAATAGATCTTTGTATTATATTTTCTGTTTCCAGGAGTATATATACCTTCTTTAGATTCTTCTCTACTACTAAAAGCGGCGTCGATATCCTCGAGCAGGATAATAGTCTGCTGTGGAGCCACCGCTAATAAATGATTCAATCTGTCATCTGTTAGGCCTCTCTCGGATAAGTTTAAAACGCAAATACCGCGCTCCAATTCCCCAGCCAACGCGGTAATGTATGAAGACTTTCCGCATCCCGGAGGTCCATGTAACAAATAGCCTCGGCGATACGGAATCCCTAGAAAAATTGACTTTTATCAGAAAAAGTAATGCAGGAAGAAACCACATCAATTTTTAATATCATTGATATATCAGGTGTTTGCAATTAAAACGGCAAACAGATTTAAGTTTGCATACCTCTTTCACTGTACCATGACGGATTATCGATGAATTCCTGACAATCGCTTACTATTTTTTCGGAAATGCCGGTATCCAAAACGACAGATTCTAATGGTCTCTTCTTCCTGGCATGTCCAAACTGTCGCCACTCGCTTCCCATGGCAGTGTACATTATAGTCTTTCCCTCATGCTCTTTCAAAGCCATCTGTCTGGCTATACGAATTAAGAATTGCCTCTGATTTCTTGATTTGTTATATAACATATCTGTAAATATATTTTGCAAGAACCTCAACCTTCTTCAAGAATACTAAAATATATGCTTTTGTCTCTGCCGAATGCTGTCAATTGTACAGTTTCCCATGGTATACCCATGTGTAGATCTAAAGTCTGTTGCTCCCTTGTTCTTTCAACCTTTATCCAGTTCCCCTTATATCTGCAGAAATGAAGAAACATGTTTAATGAGAAAATAGAACAATTTTGATGCACAGGATAAAATCATGATTATTGTCAAAGACAAGTTTAAAGGTATCTGGCAATGTTTTTTTACCTGAAGAAATGAGTACCTATACTTGGAATAAAGTCATATTTGGTTTTCACGTGACCAGTTTCTTTCTGTTCAAAGCTAGTCTCTACAGAAAGATGTTGTGTCTTTTGTGCACCTTTATGCGTAATCCATTGTAGAAGCCACTGATAACTTTTATCGCGACATGGCACTTCCAGAGTGATCATATAATGCCGTCTATAAATAAAGGATAATAATAATATGATTTACAAAATATAAACAATGTTTGATAGAATACCTAAATAGTACAGCTCCAAACTGTGCTCCTTTTCTCAATAAAGCAGCTCCAGCCCCAATCCCAAAAAGACCAAAACCAGCACCAAAGTAAGGATTATCGGCTAAAGTTTGTATATATTCGACAAATGTCATAATGCAAATTAATATTGTACAATTTTCTTATATAAATAGCGATATAAAATTATATACTATATTAAAGATTAATTAGCAATTTCTCTTTGCGTGTGTTGGAAATTAATTCATTCCAAGTCTTCCAATTACAGTGATCATTTTAATTATATAAACAGAAGTAAAATGCAAGAGCAATTAATTGTGTCATTTTTTCTTTTTTTAAAGTGCTCTAACACATTTACTATTGGACTTTTTAAGAAAATGATATAACACATTTACTATTAGACTTTTTCTTATGACTTTATTGCTTTAAATTATTTTATTAGCCTTTGCTATACATAAAATTGTACAATCATAAAGATTATGCACACTATCCAGAGCATCAAGTGTGCGTTCGAAAATCCTACCTGTAGGATAAAGTAGCGTTTAATCGACCAATCAGGATAAAGAAGGAGCAACTATTTCTTTGTTCTGATTGGTCAATTAAATACTACTCTACTTCACGGATAGAATTTCCGAACGCACCTCAACTCGTGTATTCATCACGTGATCAGTGTTTAGCCCCAGACCGGTTTTTTCAAAAATATTTATTATATATTATTATAAACAAAAATATTTATTATGTTATTATATATATTATATATTATTATAAACTGAAAGGGAAGGCATTTTTAACGCCTTTTATATAATATATTGCATTTTATAATATAACGTAGCCGTAATTATAAATAGTCATTTAGCAATATTTAATAGCATTTTTTGATCTACTTTCTTCACAAGACTTTATATGATTAAAATAAGATTAGATTAAAATAAATAATATTGCAGTATATACACATACATACACGCGTATATTCTTATAAATAATTATAATAATAAGGATATGATAAAAATTTAATCATGTTACAAACGATTATATTTCACTTTATGTTACAAAAAGAATCTCCACTACGTATAATATACTATTGTTTAATAAACGTCAACTCCAGGTACCACGAGTGTGGCTTGAATACGCATCTCTACCTTTGTCTCTTTCTCCCTCTTTTTTTTCGATTCTTTTTTTAAATTTTTTACCTGTAAATAATGTTACTGAACATCTACTTAACAGCTACATTCGATCTAATTTAAAACTGGCGTCTCCGTTCCGATTACTTGTCAATAAACGCGGGACAAAAATCACGAGATTGCTATAAATGGTTGGTTCCGGATGTTTTTTTTTCTTCTTACGATTTAACGATTAATGTGCTATAATAGCTACGGAGAAAATATAATGCTCGTTGAGACCTTCGTATAATATATATATATATATATATGTATGTATGTATAAATCGTTTTCGCTAATCTCTGCGAAATTTGGTACGTTTTCATATAATGTATATTATTGATGCCGTAACGCTAGAGTGCATTTACAGTATATACAACATACAATGTTCTGGGTCCATGATCAATATAAAACCAATTTGATAAAGATATTTCTTTCAATGGAGAACAGTATGAATACTGAACTAAAAAAACTCACTAATAATTTATTAGCTCTGTCTCTCTCCACGCTGATCGAAATGCAATACCAAATACTGAATTCTAAATATATATGTTAAATAAAAAATAGTTATTATACAAGTCCACACACATACATAAATATTACTACATTAAGATTACTAAAATTGCAACTCTAGAATATCAAATTAATTGAGTTATATGCACATATTCTATATCTCAGAATATAATTAATAATATTTAACTCGTCTATAATTAACATAATACAGTAAAATAATAAATAATTTCTCCGAGTAAAATTTGATTTAAAAAGAGATACTTAATAACTTAGATAACAATTGGAACGTTACGTCATTCTGCAAATTTGTGAACATTATTCGAAACGTATTTCGTAAATTAAAGAAATGATTTCTATAGTTTTTTATACCACAAATAAAATATCTTAACACAATAATATCTATATACAAGAAAGAATGTATATAATACCGCTTAATGACAATTCACAAATTCGCAAAATGCTATCTGATAATGCTGTCCAGCTTGCGCATCGATAATTATTACTAAGAGATACAATCTGTCAATGACGAAGTGTAAAAATATTTCGCGTAAGTGCAACATGGACCCGATTAAAGTGCGATACATCCAACGTCGTCGGGACGTCTCATGCATGTCATTACATCAAGAGATCTCTCTCTTTCTCTCCGAATCTTAGAGAAATAGTTTCAGCGCACATTACGCAGTCGATTAATCTCTTAGTCTACATCGTGTTACAGCTAATCGGACTCGTTATTCGCGAGTTTTACATTTTTTCTCTCTTTTTCTTTTATTACTCCTAGTCTCACGTATCTAAACGCACCACCATCGGGAGATTCGCCGGACGGGACGCAATAAGAACTTTTGTGGAAGCCTTGAGCATAAATCTGTCCGTCAGCCCAATTACCTCCTCGTTTACCAATCTTCGACGGGGCAGATTCTAATATTATTGTTCACAATGTACTCTCCTCTCGATTTTCTCTTTAAATTATTTAATTCGGTTTGTCTCAAACTCGTTCTGTTTCTCGCTTTTTCTAGCTTAGAATCTTAAACACGATCTTGATAAATAATTCGGTACACAGGTTGTGTATTTTTTCGATCTTTTTAAAATAATATATAAGTTTATTACTAAAATAAACTAATAAAAGCTCTTATGAATATATCATACAAAGGAGGGAAAAGGCAATTAAGAGCCAGCGCGGTAAATATTTTATTACAACCAAATTACATTGACATTTTAATTAATTGATGATAGACATAATCATAAAAAACGTACGTTTTGGTCCTTTTTTTAGATCATCTTCAGCGCAATTACAAGTAAATGAAATATATTATATTAAAAATGTGTGTAATAATAATAATATACACAATAAGAGTGAGTCACTTATATCGTCAGAAGGCAAATGTTATATAATGAACCTTCGAGATAAAGAGAGACTGTCCAATAAAATATACTACATTAAAAAAGCAATACAAATATATCGAACTTGAGTGAGTCACACATGTTGTAAAGAAGATAAATGTTACATACAACGAACGTTCGAGACAGAATGTCAAGTCTTTTCATATCGCAAGATATATAAAGTATATACGAATACAGAGGGATGTTTACAAATAAGACGGCGTGATATTCAAGTTTTAATTTATCTATTACATCTGTATAATATAAATATTCTGTGTCTGTCTGCAAATTAAGGCTATTTTTTGCCTTTTAATACCATTTCAGAAGTTAAATGTTTCGACACAGAGTTTAGACACAGAATGTTTATATTAATTATTTTTACTTATATTAATTACTATATTTATTTTGTAATTGCGCTGAAGATGATCCAAAAAAAGGACCGAATGTACGTATGCTTTTTATGATTATGCCTATCATCACTTATATTAATTACAATGTCAATATAATTTGATTATAATAAAACATATGCGAACAAATAACCGCGTTGGCTCTTAATTGCCTTTTCCCTCCTTCGTATAAATTTATTACAAAAAAAGATTTTACAAGACATATTTTAGCCGGACATTGAAATTATTTATATAGGTAATAAATCATCGATCAATATATTCATGATGCTGATACGCAACCTTTTACATAGAGGAACTTTATAAAGGACGCTAAATGTACAGAAGGACCGTGTCGGGTTCCTTCGAAAGGACAGAATTACTTTTGGCAAAAATTGTCAAAGCTATGCGCTACCGCGACTGGACGCTCACATTCATCAATTTTTTAACAATCCTTCGGAGACCGTGCTTTCATTATCGTGATTCTCTCAGAAATCAATTAACAAGCAAAATATCTAACATATATCTAAATTGCAACAAGAAACTGCACAGATCTTCTTATCGATAGAAAACAGATCTGTTTGTAAAAATCAAATTCCTGATATATCACATAACTATTAAATATCAATAATCATGCGCAGTCTCCGAATTTCTTATAATTATATTTCATATTGTAACATTACAGATTTATATGTTTTCTCTGATACTAACGTCTCTAGTCGCGTGATGCAGCGCGGACGGTTAAGTTGAGTCAAGGACGAAATTTCTCGTGAAAAATAGTTTGAGGACAGTTTCTCGAGAAAAGGAAGAATCTTTTTTTTTGTCCGGCTTGTTCCCGACAGTGATGCATAATGAGAAGGGAAGGGACGGTGGTCTGAGACTGGCTCGGTTTATGGATATAAATTAGCCTGACCTGTGTCTAGCGCCTAAGAGTGTGTACGAATCTTGCAAAATTCTTCCTTCTTTTACTCTTGGAAAGTTATATATGTATACATATAATATATTTAAGAATAATTATAGAATTATACAATAGTATTATTTAGGATCAATTGCACCAATCTACATTAAAACGTTTAAGTGTTAAAATAAATGTTTATTTTCTTATCTATGTATTATATAATTAATCCTAAAATCTCTAAAAGGAGATAAGGACCATTCAACAAAGTCAGTTGACCTATTACAAATTAATTAAAAATTTGTTAGTGCAGTCAACTAATAATAAAGTAAACTAATAATTATTGCTAATCCACGTATTATCGTTTAAGAAAAATATTTAAGACGGGCGAGAAATTAGAGATTCGACATAGGAAATAAATCGTAAAGAAAATAAAAATCTGCGAAAAATGCTTTATTCTGAATATCAACATCGATAGAATATCGTCGACGTTGAACTGTATAAAATGAAAGATAGGATTTCCATTCGTGACACGCGTCTTAGACACAGGTGACGCGCGATATAAAGACGACACGATATAGATATAATAGCGATAATTAATTAATTAATAAACGGTCGATAAATTCTCTTTAGGTATTCGTCTTATCGCGAAGCCGACAGGCAATAGTTACGACAATAAATGTACAATTGCATCAATAATAAAAGATAGCGATGATAATAATAATCAAGATAATAGTGGCAATAGCCGTGATAACAGATTTGATTGAAGCCAATCTATGATAGCATTCACGTTATAAATATATGTGTAAATTTATTCGCACAGAATGCTCCATTACATTGAATGTATTTCAATTATGTGTGCACATCTTAATAATTATGATAATCAACTATTAAATATATATGTAAAAAATATATATATATATATAAAATAGTTAATATATTTGTAAAATACTAATACGGTCGATACTGCTCAGAAGTTTTATAACAATCGGGCAGCTACATAATCGAGTGTTTTAATTGGAATGACTGCTTTACGCAACGGCGGGCTATGAATTATAAATATATTTATTACTAGAAGAAAACATACATACGGATGTATTTATGGAAAATATCAAAGTAAAAGAGCATTCTGCGAAATGCACTGAGCACACACACTCTTATCACGATAATTACACTTCTACAAAACTGACAAAACAGCGATAATTAATAAAAACTAGTAGTCAGAACTATATATGCGTGTGTCCTCTTTTTTTAAATAAGGAACCTTTTCGTGATCTCGTCGAGCGAGATCAGCGATTATTATGCGTCAACGAACTATTAAAAGTGCCTTACAAAGCGTTTTGCGTTACAATAAAAAAATGTATATAGAAATAAAAGTAACAAATGATAAAACTCGCATCGAATAGCTGCTTCGAATACAATAATGCGGGTGTAATAGTTAACTTCAGTAAAAAACACGATAAAAGTGTAAATTCAACAAGCTGTCAATTAAATGATTTAAAGCCCATTTAGGCCGCGTTTACTACAATAAAATTATTAGAAAGAACGAGGTATCGTACGTTGCACATTCCATAGCTAACAACGAGATTGTAAAAACGTATACCGATCTTTAACGATAAAAGATAAATATTTGTAATATCTTGGAACACTGGAACAATCGAATCCCCGCGTCTCGGAGATAGAAAAAAATAAGCTGCCTAAAATCATGAATTTAACATTAACTTTTTAACGTAATTTTTTTAATATAGAGAAAAAATGACATTTTCATACTTATGTAATATCTATATATAGCTCTTTGATTTTTTTCCAGAACACAAAAGGCAGCATCGGCTGTTCCATTTCCAATATATCAAAATATTTTTATGACTCGATCGAATAAAAAAATGGTTTATTCATGCATAAAAAAAATCAATCGTCAAATAAGAGGGCATAAATAAGTGGATCTATATGCATCCGAGTGTCGTTTTTGTGGCGGAGATGTGACCTGAAGTATCCTACTTGGAAGATAGGTCCTCCTATTGTGTTCTTTTTTATTCGGCTACCGTCTAAAATTTTCAAATCTACTTGCTACTACGACATTCCATTTCGCTACTTTGATTATAAACTCTACCGGTCACGCGCGAGATATTAATATTGTCTCTATGTGGTATGCAATGTAAAATTTGCCGTTCTCCGCGCTAACTACCTACAAACGGTATACGTTTCTTTCGCCGTGCGTCTTCTCCTTTTAACGTACGTGAAAGCATTTTTATCCTTGACGAAACGTTCCGGAGATGATTATTATGCTACATACCAACCATCAACAGAATATCCTCTGATCATCGAGGCAATAATGAATATATTAGAATACGTAATAAATAAGCGTGCTAAAGCAATGATAGAGCACGACAAATCAAAGTTCAAAACGTAGAACGTTTCCTCTGTACAATAAAAACGATCGAGAATGAATCATTCGCGTTAATTTAATGCACTTGACAGTTTAACGCAACTAACGCGTATCGTCACGTAGAACGTAGAATTCGCATTAAACTTGCACACGGCGACTCCGCAAACCGCGGGCGCCCTCAACGAAAGTGTATATCCTATACACTCCTTAAATTCCTCTACTAACAATAGTGGTAACACAAGGCAGAGACTCCCCGAAGAGACTCTATGATATGGAGCAAAATTCGTGGGGTATGAAACTGAACATTTCGAAACCTTTAAAACGTAGCCAATTCCCGTTCACCGAGCAGGATTCTCTCCCGTATTTAGTGAGGACGGCGTCGTCATTTTCTTTTTTTTTTTTTTCCTCAAATACTTATCGTGTATCCCGTCCATCTCTTTGTAAAAATACGTTTCACGGAATTTGCCGCGACGATTATTATGGTGCACACGTACCCATGACTGCGGGATGTCTCTTTAACAAAGAAGAAGTCAATTGTATACTCACTACACACAGTCCTTCAGCCCCAACGACAACGAGTAGAAAAATTCGAAAAGGTTCTCAAAATTCTCGCTTCTCTCAGAATATCTTACTCCACATCTTCATCATTTTCTAGAAGAAATCTCTGCCTAAGTGGGGACGGTTCGTCTGTTGCGACAGTCGCGGTCTGCCGCGTCCGTTTGCGCCGGCAGCGTGTCTCCTGGTGTTGCGCAGCTCCCGATCGACCTCCAGCTCCTCCAGCTTCATGGTGAGGCCGAGCTCATCCTCCGCCACGGCGAGTTGCCGCTGGAGCTCGTCCACTTGCGTCACGTATTCTTCGCAGCGTGCAGCAAACATTGCACGCAGACCTGGAGAGCGTATGGTTAGAGCGGGGTTTAACACGATGTAGAGACAAGCGGACGAGATAGAGGAATGCATATTAGAAAAGCGTGTTCATTTTCGATATTAGGCTTCATATATAATAATCGAAAGTCATTTTTACATTTAATATATTTATAGATATGTAACGTAAAGTCTCTCATGAAATGTCAGAGAAGAAATATGCACCAACAAAAGACCAGATATACACGGTAGTTTGCATTACGTTTTTTAAACGAGCGCTTGACTAGTCACGTTTTGAAGAGAAATGTTACACTTGGCAGTATACATATGTTGATTTTTAGGCAATACAATAGTTATGGCACAAAAAAAGAGCGTTTGAAAAGTCAATTGCAGTACCCCACAGAATTAACAACACTGCATTTATTAAGGCTAATAGCAACCAGTTTTTAATGGACGCATTAGTAGGAAGGTGTTAGGTGCGGAACAAAATAGAAAAAGAAAGTTACATTATTGAATTTCAATTTAACGACTGTAGGTTTCGTAGAATTGTCTTTTAAAAGGGAAAGATTTAGTAAAGATTCATGGCAAAAAAGTGTCATCTAACATAATTCTATCTTAATATAATTTCTTCTTACAAAACATTTTTTTAAATTAAATTTCTACCTGTATAGCAAAGACAGAAAAAGATATAGAAGTTAAATACTCACTCGAAAAGGTTGCAGCGTTTTCCTTCAACATTCTAAGCTCATTCCTTAATTTGAGCATTGTCTCGTTGACGATACTCTTCTCGTTTTCGTATTTGCTCTTTAAGTTCGTTAACGCTACTTCTGCCGTGTTTTTGTTTGATTTAAGCACTGTTCTTAATGTGGCAATCTGCTCTCGTTTAGCGGACAGCAAGGCCTTTAATCTAATGACTTGCTCTTGAAGATCCGTTATTTCTGCTTTGTTCTCATTGACAGAAGCTGAAAACGAAAATTCAATTTCCAGTTAAAAAAAAAAAATAGAAATTGATTTACCGATATAAAGAACTATTTCTACATTTTTTACACAAAATAATGGCAAGATTATGTTTAATAAAGTTTAGAAATATATTTACTCTCGCAAACGTTGCAGATGTTGGACTGCATTCCCTTGACTTTGGATAATTCGATTGTGTGTTCTACGGCGCTTCTAAGATATTTTATTTGGTCCATCGCGGTCTCTATGTGCTTCGCAATTTCCTTTGATTTGCTGAGACTTTCTAGATCCTTAATCTTGATGTCGGTCTTGAATAGAGTTCGACACCAATCCATCTTACCGTTCTCCTCTTCCTTTTCGGGCACAATTTCCGATTTCTCGTGATCCAACACCACTCTCGAGGGAGTCTCGCCGTTAACGGTGCACACGTGATGGTAGAGCTGCGCGAGCTCGTCGGAGAGGTTCTGCAAATCGTTCTGAGCAGAATCAAGAAAACCGCCAGCTTCCGCGGTGAGTTTCGACAAAGTGGATACGTCCGATTCGAGTTGCATGCTTCTTTGTTCCGTATCCAAGAGCTGAAAAGAAGGAAAATAAGGAAATATCAAGCGCGCGTACAAAAGTGCGTTACCAATCGCAATAAATGCGTTAGGTGCATTTTTTACTTGATACTGCGTATTTATCGGAAATTTGTTCGCGAGATGAAATTCGCAAAAATCGGATGGATTTATTTAGGATCACGTTCGTAAGTTCTGCAAGTAATAGCAGAGATATTTTGCAAGAGTATATAATACGTTTGCAGATATCTGATTTCTTTTTCTCTCCGAGTATCGTGCAAAGACAAGCTGGGCGAATTCCACGATCGACATGCTACGTTAGATGCGCACGAAATTTACGTATAGAAGGAAGAAAGTGATCGATTCTGAATTCTCGTTTCTAAGCGCATTCTGTCTCAAAAGCCACGGTGCATAGCGGATCCGTACGTCATTTCTTTCGAGCAATGATACTTTTTATTTAAATGCGCTTGATGCGACGATCCATGCGTGAGACTAAATGAGGGCGAGAGTCCATGGTGCTCGAAGAAATGATGTAATTCTCAAACATGGATCTACATTCAATGGAATGATGGTGAAATCGTCAGTAGCTTCGAAAACGTGTACAGTTAAATATACGAAAAAGTATGAGATGGGAAGCGATATATGTATATATCGAGCTGTTAGGACATTGAGAAGCAAGTATTCATTGTACGGATCATTAGAGGAGCCAACAAGACAAATTGTTATTGAAATATCTGGTAAATATGTCAAAAGGAACACACGTAATCCAACCTTTTCTCGAAGGCTCTTCTCTGACTCGGGTATCTGAAACGCCACAATTTCTATTCAACGTCTAAGTTTTGCACGTATGATTGCGCCAGTGTCGTATTCATATTTATATTCTTACCATTAGAGCAAACTCTTGCATTCTTTCTCTCTCATCTTTCTTTATATCTTATAGCATAGTCTATTAACTTACATTTTTCCTCTTAATCGCAAGTTTTGCGATAATGCTGTTGTATAATGCATTTCTTTGAAAAATATAGCAGTAAGATAAATGCATACCTTGTTTCTCAAATTTGTCAGCTCTGTTCTTAGCTGTTGCGTGGAGTCAGATATGGTTAAACCGTTCTCCAATTCTGCCAGATCTTTCTGCAATTGATTAACCTCGCGAGCGGACATGGTGCTCCATTGATGATATTGCACAATAGCCTGTCCCAAACAGTAAAGTGTCATTATTATAATACTTCCAAGTGAATACTGAATGTAATTTTTATTTATTTATTTTTTTATATCAAAATTAAAAACAATTTACTAGCAAAACCATGTACATGCAAACATACCTGATTGAGTTTATCCAGCGTTGCTTCTTCACTCTGCGTTTCTGGCAACTTCGAATGAAGATGATGCAGCGATTGCACATGCGCTGCCAGCTGCACTATTCGTGCAACGAACGATTGCAATTCCGCCTGGCTTTTCTCGACTGCATACTGCGACTCGCGTAAGTTTTGCGTTAAGTGGGCCTTTTCAGTCTCTGCGAGTTCCAGCTGCTTTTCTAATTTCTTCAATTCGTTCAAATGAATTTCGGAGAATAAGTCGACCTGCTTGTCGGACGCGGACGTGCCTGGTTCCTGCGTCTTTAGATCTGCCTCGATTCTACGCAGTGCAGGCGAATCGTCTTCGCCATCGCTACATATCGTCTGATCCTCCGTGATGCCTCGGATAGAGAGCGCAAGGTTACTGAGATTGTAGATCGACTCGCTGTTGATTCTCTGATCCAACTCCTTCTTCAGAGCATACTTGGCCTCGCGCTCCGCTTGTAGAGACTCCAACGCTTCTTCCATCTGCTTCTCCGCTATCTTCTTCAAGTTTGTCAGTTCTTCCACTTGGCTATTTAATAGGTCAAGGTCCTCCATGAGTCTTCGATTCTCGTGTTTGGCACCCTCGAATTCTACCTGACTGGATCGCAAACTCGACACTTGCTTCTGCAAGGAGATATTCTCGTCCTCCAACTCGGAGTAATCCTGAAGCAGACGGGTCTCGCGAAACCTGCACTCCCGTAATTCCGTCCGCAACGATTTACGTTCCGTCTCCGCTTGCTGGTGATCTTTGCCAATGTCCTCGCGTTCCTGCAGCGCGTGATCGCGTTCCGCTTGTACTCGTTCCAATTCATGACGTAACTAAAAACAATTTATAACATTTCAAAACGACAGTCTCATTTCGTACAAGTCAATAATTGCGATCAACTTGATATAAACCTGTTTTGTTTCACACTCCAATTCAATAATCTGCGACTGCAGAGACGTTTCCCGGGCGGCACTCTCGTTAAGAAGACTCTCTTCTTGTTCGATGCCGCTCTTTGCAGTTATCTTTGTGGTTGTCTGAAACTTTGCGAGGGCCTGAAATAACGACATATATGCTTTATTTATATTAGGAATAAATATACATCTTTACTTATATATAATTATAATATATATTTTCTTAAAACTGGAATTTTAGAACAATTAAGATAGATATTGTTATCTATACATTGATTATCTGATATGGACACACTGATCGAGTTATTTCATCATGTGCATTCTCCTTATATATACACTGCTACAGTTAAATTAATATATTTGTTATCTATTCTATTTCAAGAAAAACGTTTAATCACTATTTCTGAGTATTCATTTCACATGTTGCTGTTTATTAAATCTTTACTCTAAACTCGCTCGCATTTCTTATTTGTGCTATCACGCTTAATTATCGCTTTCGAGAAAATTGTTGCAAGGACAGAATAAATTTTCTCAGTCTCGCTCTATCTCTCTCTCTCTCTCTCTCTCTCTCCCTCTCACGACGCGTGATCGGGCGTGTCGAAAAATCCGGCACTCGTACTAACCTCCTGCGTGATCTCCAGCTCGTGCTTCGTGTTTTCGTAGAGGGCCTCGAGGTCGTTGCATCGCTGCTGCAGGCTCGACTTCTCCTCGAGCAGCGCGAGCCCGTATTTCGCCGACTGTACCTTCTCGGTGGAGGCCAAGGCAAGCTCGCGCGACAGCCGTTGAATCTCGGTTCTCAGTCCCTCGACCTCGTCGACGGTGGTGGCGGCCATCGCTGGTTACGTCGATGATGATAAACGACGACGACGACGACGATGGCAATGTCGCGACGTTGCTGTCACGCTCTTCGTCTCCCTCCCCTAGGTCGTTGCATCGCTGCTGCAGGCTCGACTTCTCCTCGAGCAGCGCGAGCCCGTATTTCGCCGACTGTACCTTCTCGGTGGAGGCCAAGGCAAGCTCGCGCGACAGCCGTTGAATCTCGGTTCTCGACCTCGTGACCTCGTCGACGGTGGTGGCGGCCATCGCTGGTTACGTCGATGATGATAAACGACGACGACGACGACGATGGCAATGTCGCTGTCACGCTCTTCGTCTCCCTCCCCTCCTTTACCTCGTCACCCGCACCACCTCCACCAGCACCTCTCGTCGTTGTTATCGTAACAAATGGACGCCGATCGCCCGACGCATCCTTCGGTAATCGTCGATCAGGCGCGTCGTACCTTTAGCTCCTCCGTCGTCACGTCACGTCACGTCACGTCTCGTGTAATTTTACCTCCTCGCTTCGACGGGACGCGCGCGACAGGCAGGTCCTCCTTTTCCTTTTCACATCCTATCTAGCGACCCGAGAACCACCGTCGGCGAGCCACTCGCCGATTTTGACAGACGCGGCGCGACAGTGACAGTCCGGTTACGGCGAAGCGCGGGTGGACGGGCGAGAGGAGGGGAAGGGGGGGGGGAGAATCACGCGAACAC